GGACAAAAAAAAGAGGAAGGAAAAAAAGAAGAAAAAAAAAAAAGAAGAAAAAGAAAAAAGAAGAAAAAGAAGAAGAAGAAAAAGGAGAAGAAGAAGAAGAAAAAGAAAAAAGAGGGACAAATGGTACGCTGTGACTGGGCTATGGCCAGGAGACCTGGATATGCTTTCTTTGAAGCATATCACAATTTTTTTTTTTTTTTTTTTTAATGGACAAATGAAAAGGGGAAAGGAAAAGGCAATGTGAAGAAAGAAAAATCACAATATGAGTCACTGATCATAACCAAACAGGACAAAGGAAAAAGAAAATCAGATGATGGACATTTCCATGGTTTTTATTTTGTTTTGTTTTTCCTTATGGAAAACAAAGCAAAAGAAAACCAAAAACAGGACAAAGATGAGAGGGATGAAAGGACAGAAAGAATGAGTAAGATCATTCTGTGAACGTTAGTTCAGCACTCTTACCTCTTATTGGTGTACCACCTGGGTGGATAATATGAATGCAAATAAGATTAGAAAGAAGAAGCATTAGTACGAGAAGAAGGAGGCTAGGGCTTTGGAAGAAGAATCAAATTAGATTTACAGAATTAAATAAGGTCTTAAGAGAAACTTGAATTACTATACTGTTAAAACAGGAATATATTAGATAGTATTATCAGGTTATAAAAGCAAGTTGCATTGTACCACAAAGGGCAAAAAGGCTATAATTGGCTGCACTGCCATTCTCAGAGCAGCATCTGAGTTCTTAGACGTTCGGTTATATATGGTTAGAATAGTATCAAATATTCCTCAAATACTTAAAGAAAACTTTACAAAACTGTACTTATGACATATTTTAGGAAAATATTGGAAATTCTATTTAAATATATATATATCTATATATATATATATAAAGAGGATATACTGAAGTCTATCTCAAAACAAACACTGTAGTTTAGGCTGGATTATGGCATTTACTATTCTAGATCCATGTGATACATGTGTACTGTTTCTTTTAGGTGTTGCTATGACTGATAAGACAACATTTCTGTGGAGGTGTGCGTGTGCGCCACTATAGGGGTCTGGTGACTACACTGACTGTTAGTAAAATGCATGCCATGCATTTTAAGAATAATAATACTAATCATATAATAATTATCATAATCATAATAGTCTGAATATGGAAATTAGTGGGGGTGAAGTGCGCTTCAGAACTAAGCACTTACCAATAGATTCTGGAGATTTAAATACGGAGAGAAGAAAGACAGCATAAAAATATTATTATATTCCTTATAATTTGGTACAAAGTTTTCAGTTAAAGCTTTATATACTAAATCATCTATGTCACATGTGAAAAAATCTTAATTTACATTAACAGAAGGTTAATTTACACAGTTCTGCTGACAACAAGCAAAAAGTAGGTTAACAAGACGATTTAACATCACAGGACAGGTCAAAAGCTGAGAATTCTGGGAAGACACGTGATTAAACAACTTAGATTCTACAACGATATCTACTACAATTGTCAAAGAAAAAAGCTCATTATATCCCAGTGATCATGATCTGATCTTATTTTGGGATAAGCATTAAACTCGATAAATTTAGATATTTGTTTGTATGTTTCTTATTTTGTTTTGTTTTGTTTTGTTTTTAATCTAAAGAGAGCAAAAGAATAAACTAAGGCAGGAGGAGAGTGAGAGAACTGCTAGGGAGGTGCAAGGGGCAAAGAGAGAGAGAGCGGCAAAAGCTGGAATCTACATCAAAAGCAGACTTCTGTAGATCCAGAAAATATAGGATTCATAAAGCTTTAGCGTGGACGCACACTACTGTGGCTAAATGTGTTGGAAAAATGCTCAGCCAGCAAAAAAACCCCCAACTTTGTTCAGTAGATTACCCAAAGATTTAATTTCCTTTTTTTTTTCAGATATAAATCTGCATGGGAAGAAGTACTGTGCTTTATGTATTTGTGAAAGGAAAGAAGATGTGTCCAAACTGGCTAATCTTTGGTGAAGTCAAATGTGGAAAAGACAGCAATAAACACATTTTAGATTTTAATTGAAGTGTCTAATGCAGGTTTTGGTTTTGATGAATATAACCATTGGTACTCCTTGCAATTTCTGAATGAAGTCCAATGTTGAAATAAATTTGTTAAAAAAAATTAAAAGGAAAGAAGAAAGAAAGAGGAGAAAATGGATCCATCAAGTACTGCAAAAAGCAGTAAAGAAAAAATCATCAAAAAATACAGTCACAGCAGTGAGCAATGTGGAGTAAACAGAAGCTGCAAAACACATAGAGACAGACTCTATAGAAAGCTATGACAACATCACAGACATGGACAACACACTCAGTAACACAGAAAAGGAAAGGGGAAAGAGAAATTATTACCTATAAATAAAATTTTTTTAAAAAGGCAGAGAAAGAAAAGAAAGAAAAAGTGAGAGAGAACAACTCTGGGCGTCGGTGGAAACAGTAACGAGACCCTACCTGAGCGTAGCTGCTTGATGCGGCCATTGTTGTTGCTTGTGTCAACAGGTAAGAAATCTTTGAACCAAGTTATTTCAGGATCAGGATTGCCACTGGCTGCACATAACATGGTAGCTGTACGAGTTCGTTCAACCACCTTCAGCTGTGGGCCCATATCAATGGTTGGAAAACCTCGAGGAATTTGATCCTCTGAAAAAGAAATTTATAAATTGAGGAATTTCATGTCAGTTGTGCAGTGCTGCCTGAAAGCCCAAATCATCATCCTGCTTAAAGTTCAGTGATCACCTGTTTGTAAACAACAAACAATTGATCAAGATTCTGATACAAAATAAAAAGTTAATTAAAAATGGTTATAAACTTTATAATTATAAAATCAGATGAGATATACTACCTAGCATGCAATCACTGGATTCATACTATTGTACCATACAACACTGATGTTGCCCTGCTTTCCAGAGTCCTTACTATTTTATATGAAATATCAAATCAAATTACCATTATCAAATCTACCATTAAGGAAATCTACCATTAAGGAAAACCGTTTCTCTTTATACCAGAGAAATACATAAGGAAGAATCATCATGCAATGTAAGATCAGGCCACTAACTCAGAAGACCTAAGTTATGTTTCTTGCTTATATCATAATTACTTATCTGTTGTGTCTCAACACCTGTTGCCCCTGTTCATCCCACACCCCTGTGCTTTGATTGTCCATCTCACAGATGGACTTGATAGTGCTTTACTGCTACAGGAGAGTGCCGTGAAGATGAATGCATTATGTGACTGCAAAACACTGAGACGTTCTAAACATTGGAGCTGTGTGCACAGCAAAGTTAAAGTGGCACTATACTCACAATGATATTGAATAGATACAAAAATGTATATTAAAATACTCAGAAACAGACCAAAATCCTCATGCTAGTGTGGTTAATACTGAAATATTAAAAAATATTGCACAAGAGTAATTGGCCTTCATAATGTGACACCGGTTAGCAAGTAACACTGCTATACACAATAGGATCAGGAAATTTCTCAGAAATCAACTTTGCATAGCTAAAACAATGTGTTTGAAATGCACAATCTTGCTCCTCAATTCCACAGCAATGGCAAAAATATTTTTATTGCAAAATAATATTAATTCAATTCAAAAATGAAAACAAAAATAACCAAAGAAAGAGGATGAACACTAACTACAAGCCACATGTTATTTAATGTCTTTACTAATCATTACTGACATGCAATTGATTAGAGGATAAAACTTACAGGAGAAATTGTTGAACATTAACTCTCTTAAGTTGTGTCACATTTTCAAAAATGTCAGATAAGTCTTCAGACTTTTCTGAAAAAATGTATAGCAAGCAAACACAGCCTCTTTGTAGTTCCTGGGATGTAATGTTGCTCAGGATCTACTTAACTGCTTGCAATACAAGTGCACATAGATAACCACAGAATTACAGAATGGTTTAGGACCTTAAACAACATCTACATTTGACCTCTCTTCCATGGACATAAATCTCTTCCACTACATCAAATTACTCAGACATACAACCTGGTCTTGAACCACCTTCAGAGATGGAGGATCCACAATCTCTCTGAGCAGTGTATATCAGTGCCTCACCAGCCTCAGAGTAAAGCTTTTCTTAAGATTGAATCAAAACCTATCTTCCTTTCGCTTAGGGCAAATCTCCCATTTCCTATCCCTTTTGAAAAGCTTCTCTCCAGCCTTCTTGTAGCCCCCCTTTAGGTACTAGAAAGCTTAACAAGGTCTCCAGAGCCGTTTCCTTTCTCGGCTGAACAGCCCCAACTATCCCAGATTTTCTTTGTAGAAGAGGTATTCTAGACTTCTGTTCTTCCAGGCTCTCTACTGGACTCATTCTAACTAATAAAAGTTTTTCTTGTGTTCGAGGCTCCAGACCTGGACACAGTACTTCAGGTGTGAGTCTCACAACAGAAGAATAGAGGAGTAGAAGCATATCCCTTGACCTTCTGGACATGCCTCTTTTGATGCAGCCCAGGATAAGGTTGGTTTTCTGAGCTGTGAGTGTCCATTGCAGGGTCATACCAAACTTTTTATCCACAAACATCCTGTCTTTCTTTCCAGGGTAAACCTCAATCCATTTTCCACTAAATCTGTATTGTTTTTTGGAATGACCCCAACAAAGGTATAGAACCTTTCACTTGGCCTTGTTTCACTTCCTCAGGTTCCACCTCTCAAGCCCGTTAAGGTCAATCCACATCCTTCAGTGTGTTAACCCCACCACACAGCTTGGTGTCATTGGCAAATTTGCTAAGGGAGTACTCAATCCCACTGTCCATGCTGCTGTGACAAGGAGCACTGGTCCCAATACAAATCCCTGAGGATGCTCAGCTGACACTAGTTGCTAACTAGACATTGACCTGTTGACTGCAATTCTAGAAGTGTCATCATCCAGCCAATTTTTATCTGCCAAGAGCTCCCCTGTCAAAATTCACACCTCTCCAGTTTGGAAACAAGGATGGCATTTGGGAGAGTGTCAAATACCCTGCACTAATCCATATGGATGATTTCTGCTGCCCTTCCTTGTTCAATACTGCTTTATTGCAATCCTAGAAGGCCACTAAATTTGTCAGGCATCATTTGCCTTTAGTGAAACCATGATGGCTATCACCTAATTATTTTCAGAGCCTCTTAGCACATTTTCCAGGAGGATCTGTTCCATGACCTCTACAGGCACTGATGTGACACTATCTGGCCTGTAGTTCCTTGGTCTCCCTAATCTCCCTTTTTAAAAAAGTGGGGTCATGTTTTTCCCTTTCCTGTTGGTGGGAACTTCACCAGATTGCCAGGAGTTTTCAAATACGATATTTAGTGGCTGCATTCTTTCATCCCAACACTCTAGTCATAAGAAAGGTCCCTGTGTCTCTATGATGCCAATTGAAGTCAAAGACCTGCAGACATCCACACATCTCTAGTACCACCTATGCTGCATGTGTTAGCATAAAGGGGTTTTAAGTTGCTCCCCAATGAAGCTGACTTTCTGTCTGGTGTGTCTGGAATGTCTTGGTGCTGTCCCTCAGGTGTCCTGCTGCTGACCTGCCTACCCCCTCCAGGCTCCTTCTGGCTCAGCCATCTAACTAGTATGTGTGGGATGGCATGTCCCACACCTTATCACTATCAAACCTGATGATATCTCCCTCCCCTGTTATATCTCATTTAAACCCCTATCAATAAGCCCTGATAGCCCTTCACCAAATAATTTCTTCCCCACTTGGAAAGAGCTGAGTCCCACCTTCATTCAGCAAGCTGGTGCTACAGGCCATCCCATTATCAAAGAAAACAACATTTTGATGATGACACTAGTCATGGAACCATGTGGGTCCATTCGTTTTTTTCAATGCTAATACCTGCAACTGGAAGAACAGAGGAGAAATAACGTGCACCCAACTCACCAACCATTCCTGGGCCTTAGTAAAGTGAACACAACTGTCCAGAGCTTCCATGACTCTTTAGAACTAGAATTTCTACCAATCAGCTAATAAATGTCAAATCATTCATTAGCCATAGGATCTTCACAAAGAAAGGTATGTTTCGTGTCTGCTTATAAAAGTTTTGGCTATTAGCTGACAAGATCTGACTTGTGACAAAACAGGATTTTTATGACGTTTACCTTTCCTACTTGGCTTATACAGAAAACCCTAGAGTCCCTTTTGCAAATAGCTAAATGTACAGCAAAGATAATCTATCTTGAATGTTAATAGGATGGAGTAGTAAAGAGCCTCCCTTTCTTATTTTTAATATGGGCAATTAAATTCCATCCATCTGCCTTAGGCATAGAATGTCTTTGAATGAATGCTCTTCATGAAATTTTCATGAGAAACATCACAATCTAACATTCAAATACCCAGAACTGTTACATTTTTGATGGTTGTGGCTGGTATCCAACCTGGCTTTCAGGTATTTGGCAATAAACCCAGATATACAACATCAAATGGACCAGAGAAATAATGAAACTTCCAATTGGAGGGCTTATCATGGTGGATTTAATTTTTAAGACATTAATTACTTCTTTTCCCTCTAAGTTTATTCATCATTTGTACAACTGTCTTTACACTTTAGCAATATCAAGGATGACAGGTCATCAAACACTCCATGAAATAAAGCTGAGCATCAAATCATTGAACAACTGCATCTCAGCCATAGTAAGAGAAAAGTAACTATTACAAATTTTTTATATATTGGTACCTCTAAAATTTTATCTGAGGTGGCGAGAAAAATATTTTTTAGTGATCATTAATATGCTCACTAAGTTCTAAACTACAGTATATACTGCTCTTCCCATGTAATATTCAGTTCCAGTCAATTAGTTTCCAATTCATCAACAATTTAAATCAGACTTGACCTTCTCAGAGCCATTTGGTACTGTCATTTTGAGAGGCCATTAAAGGTCAGATTTGTCTGTCCTTGTGGCTTAGTGACTTATACATATAATACGTATTTTGTTTAGGATGACAGATACAAGTGATTTAGAAATAGGCCACATTCTTTGAATTTGTTATTTGTCTTAAAGGTGTTGAATTTCATTACTGGCATTAAAAGAATGCATTTAGTACTGCACTAGTATAATTTCCAATCACTGCATGACTCTACAGAAGTTATTTTTCTGTGTATGATCTGAACAATGTAGGAAACAATTACAGGTTACCAGATGAGCCCTTAAGAGAGGATGTAACAAAATGGCCTTGCCTTGCTTTGTATCATGGCTCTTACTATTTCTTAACTGTCTGTTTATTCAATCAGTTTGACATCGTTTAGCTAAGGCATCCAGAATGGACAACAAACAGAAGCTGTAAGCCACTGTGCTCCTAGAGAGTTGTCACCTTCTTGCCATTACTGAAACTTGGTGGGATGTGACTGGAGTGTGACTATTGATGGCTTCAGGCTCTCCAGAAGAGACAGCTGAGGAAAGAGAGAGGCAGAGGGGGTGCCCCCTACATCAGCAGGTAGACTGAATGTCAAGAGCTGTCTCTGAAGAGCAGCCACGAGCAGGACAAAAGCCTGTGGGTAAGGATCAGGGACTGAGGCAACAAAGGAAACCTTGTGGATGGTTTTAAGTGCAGACCCCTGACCAAAGGGACCCTATTGATGAAACCCTCTTGCTCCAGCTACAGGAGGCATCTTGCTCAGAGGCTCTTGTCCTGCTGGGGCACTT